GGTTGACTCCAAGCTGGTTAAGGTAGTGCAACAGGTAAGAATGCCAACTTTACAGTATCTACAGCTACCTAAGGAGATAGGTCTCTGGGAATGCCTGTGGAGGGAGCTCAGAAGACAACTCTGAACCCGGATATCAGTTCTCACATTCTGCCTTGTTTAAGACAGGATCCCTTTGTTTATTTTCTGCTGCACACACAGGACTAGCTGTCCTGTGATCTTCCCAGCATTCTTTCGTCTTCCTCTCCCATCTCGCCATAGTAATGTTGGGATTACAGATTCTTTCTACCCACTCTTAATGGGTTGTGGGGATTTGAATGAAGACAGGTCTTCATGTCTGTGTGGCAAGCATTCTACTCCTGAACCATATCCCTCGCCTCCCCACACTGTTCGTTCTTTGTGTGAGAATCTGCTGGGGCCACCACTTGCTACTGGCTAGCTGCTCCTAACAGCTTCATGCCTAACAGGGAGGGGAGGCGCCTATTAGGATCTCCCAAGACCTCGAAATAAGCTCATGAAATTACAAACAACCAAATATACACAGCAGAATGTTCTTTTTCCAAAAAAATAAAATTCACAGCAAAAAATTCCACTGGTCCTAAGAACCCCAGATGCCAGGCCAGATCTAGGAACCCCAGCACCAGCAGCTGTACTGGAGGCCAGGCTGGTCCTACATACACCAGAAGTCAGACCTGATCTATGGATCCCAGTCTTTACTCCCTCCCATGACTTTCATGTTCTGGTTAACAACTTCTGAAGACTTCAGCTTTACCAGAGGTCAGGCTGGATCTAATGACCCTTATGCCACCAAAACCCCAGAGGTGACACCCTATTAAGCTTGAAAGCATGCCACTCACCAGAACTCTGAGGCCTCGACTTTGCAAACTCTGTTTTAAAGCTTCATCTTAAGCCATGTAATGATCGGGATCAGATCTCAGCTCCAGAAATGTGTTGCAATAGCAGAATCTGAATGGATACGCTGAAAATAGCCAGTTAAGGAGCTAGGAAATGGCCATAAAATTTAACAAGGTCCAGATATTCCTAGGAGGCATTCTGTCCTTGGAGATAACTTGTCAGTAATTTATAGCTCTTTGTCAGTGTTTCATGCTCCAAAATTGACCAGTGTTTTCAAAAACTACCTTCCCCTATGCCCTCCTTACCTAATCCCAAACGACAGAACATGAACTCTCCTGAATACAGCATTTCCCCCTTAAAAGTTCTGTCCTCCCTGGGCTTGCAGACACACACTTTCCTCACCCACTGCACCTAGGTGCTGGAAAGGGATGGTCCAAACTCGGGTTTGCAAAATAAAGACCCTCATGTAATTTCATCAGAAACCAGGCTCCATAAATTCATTTGAGGATTAGTAATTTAGGTATAATGGAACCCTTGTCCATTTAGGCCAAAAGACCAGAGAAGAAACAGATATCAAGAAACAAATCCCCCATCTAACAAAGACAAATGCAGGAATCAACACCTAGACCTATAATCACCCCAAATCCAGAAGCCTTAGTGTCAGCGTTAAGAATGCAATCAATAACAGACGGGCAATATGGCATCACCAGAGCCCAGCTACCCCTAGAACAGCAAAACCTAAACAATCCAATGCAGCTAAAGCACAAGAAATTGCCCTTAAATAATTGCTGTATCTTCATAGAACTTGATAGAGTTCCTTGAGGAGAATTTGAACAAAGCCCTTAAAGAAATTGAGGAAAAGACAAACAAAAAGTAAGATGAAATTAATAAATTTTCATAAGAATACCAAGAAACAAACATTATAATCTATGTTTAACCTTAAAATATATTTTTAATTTTAATTTAATTTTTGAATCATTCAAAATATTTTCTGTCATTTTGAATAAAAGTTTTATTTTTATTGTCCACTACATTCATTACATAGATTTATAGAAAGTTTTGGAAACAAAAGTTATGCTACCTGCACATAACTTTTCATAAACTGCAAAGTATCCAAATGTACCTCTTACCTCTTAATGGCGCTTTGTAAAATAAAAATTGTTCTCTCTCTCTGTCTCTCTCTCTGTCTCTCTCTCTCTCTGTGTGTGTGTGTGTGTGTGTGTGTCTAACTCTCTGCATGTCTGTCTCTCCCTGCTTTTTTGCAGCTAATGTTGGTGGTAGTGACTGGGATTTGTATGTTTATGTGGTATTTTTTTTTCCGAGACAGGGCCTCATATAGTCCAGGCTAGACTGAAACTGCTTATGTGCCTAAAGATGATTTTGAAATAATGATCTTCCTGTCTTCACAATCTGGGTGTTGGGTTTCTCTGGGTGCACCACCTTGCTAGGCTCCAAACCTTTTAAGTAGTGGCAGTTTCTGGCACATCACTCCTGGTCACAAGTATAACCAACACCTGGCTTATAAAGAATCATCTTAACTAAAACATAAATAGTTCTTTTACTTTCTGTTCCTGTTTTACATGCCAGCTGTTACTGCCCGGTGTCCTCCAGGCATAGCATAGCTGATACCTCCTTGAAATCAGAGCAGATGTGTTTGTACAAAGAGACCCTCACAAGATTATATCCACTGATATTCCCTCCTTGAGGGTTGGAGAGCTTCTGAGACAGCACAGGAATGAGTGTACGGGAAGATTGTAGGCCACTAAGAAGGGAGTGATCAACCCTCCACTCATCCCAAAGCATGGTATATGCAGTTAATGCATGCTTCAGGGGAAAGAGACTTTTGTTGGGTGGTTTAGTTGCCCATAACTTGCCCGGGCAACTGTAAGTAAACTCCCGCCTACGCTCCTTCGCATACACCACTCCAATTAAACCAATGGGTTCATCGAGCTAGTTTGAGTAGGATTACATAGGGTCTAGCCATATACTCCAATACTCAACACGCCCTGCCTGCATCTGCTCAAGGGCCCTGCCTGCATCTGCTCAAGGGCCCTGCCTGCATCTACTCGAAATGTCTGAACATATAGGAAACAGCTTCTACTATGTGGTTTAGAATGCTCTCCATAAGGGTATCTGTGCCCAGTGTGCAACAGTCCTATTTCTTCTGAGACCCTGCTGCACCCAAAGAATGATGGCAAAGTGTCCCAAACTGCCTGCTACCGTGTGGGAAGGACAAGGCAGGCTGAGGAGATAGCTCATTTGGCAAAGTGTTCAAGCAAGAGGCCCTGAGCTACATTCCCATACCCACGTAGAAATGCATGCATGCTCACTCTCATTTGTAATCTCAGCACTGATGGGTAAGTTCCCAGGACTTGTTGACCAGTGTGATTTTAACCTAATTTGTGACCTCCAGGCAAAAGAGAAACTCTGTCTCAAAGGGGATGGTCTGAGTTCCTGAAGATGTGCCTGCATTTACACATGTGCACACACATAGATGCATACATAGACACACTTTTAAAAGACCATATAGATAAAGGGCAACTCTTAACACATTCACTAAGTGTTATAAAGTCTTATTAAAGATTTTACAGCAAAAAGAAAAAAAAACCTAAGGGAAACTCAGTGCACAACAGATAATTCCAATAGGCTGTAACCAGTCTTAACATTATTTAGCAATGGTAAACAATGTAAATTGCCCCGGCACCCCCAGGGAGATGTGGGCCCCTGTGATAGGTCTGCTGAGCCTTCAGCAGCCTCTGTATATGCTTTTCAATATCCTGCAACTAGACACCCTGGAAGCGTGTCAGGCTCTAACTTCTGTCTTGGTGAAGGTTCAGAGGCAGTGGCCTTCTGCATGGTCAGACTTGCTTTATTTATCGCAGCTCTCAGATGCCGAATTCTAGGGCAAGGGGTGTTCGCCGACATTTCTCTCCAGACTCCAGAGCTACCAGGAGAACTGGCCTTACTCCCTGCCCAGTTGAGCATGTTTCCTTCCCTGGGAAGATACCTCACCAAGGACAAAGTAATCAGCAGGCCTGCATCTTAGAAGCCTCGATGTACACCCCCACATTCCCACGGGCTGTGTCCTTCTTGCAAGCACACTCTGCTCACTGCAACCCCAAGCTGCCGTTACTGTTTGTATCTGAAGAGGCTCAACCCACAGCAAATGGCATTGAGAAGGCATGCATTACAATAAATCTGTGACTGACTAGATACATTGTAATCTGGACCAAGCCAGAAGAGCAGGCTTTCGGGTAATGGGTCAGTGCTTTCCTTCCCATCCAAACGCTTGGGCTTAGACCCTGCAGGAGCCTGAACACCATCAACAGCATTCGGGGTATGGAACGTCAAGACATCATGCAATTGCCTCAGCTGGGAGCTGGTGAGGCTGGAGAACAAAGAAATGGTCAGTATCTGGATGGGCCAGGTGCTCTAATCATCTGTTTCTTTGCAGATGAAAGTGGACAGACACTTGTCCTCGGTCTGCAGCCCTTCCCTGTGCCCCCCGCCATTCACCCTGGACTCTGATTCCCCAATCATTCTCTTTTTGTCTCCTCCTTCCAGGAGTAAGTTTATGGATAATCTTTCAGAATGTGAATGGAAGTCAGGGGAAAGAGGGTGGACAGGGCAGCCCCATATTGGGAGCCACAGCAGCGGGAGAAGGTGCGAAAGAAGTGAGAGACGAAGCTCCTGCTGACGATGCAGTCTTCATGGATGACAGGAATCCCGGTGGCGTTACCAGCAGCAATAGCCAAGATGAGGGCCAACAAGAGGAGGTGATCCCTGGGAGCACAAAAGGCGCTTGGGCTCTACCAGGACCACCAGGCAGGCAGCAGCTCCGCCATAAGTTCACAGAGTTCCAGCTGCAGGAGCTGGAGCGCTTTTTTGAGCGCAATCACTACCCTAGTGCTGAAACAAGGTAAGAAGATTGTCTGGCTTGTGCTGGGAGCATGAAGGGTTTCAAGGAGGCCTCTGGATCTTTCCCAGGCCCTTCTCTAACCCGTCTTAAAATAAAATCTGTCTGCCGACTCCAGGCTACCAGACCCGGTTCTTGGGTTCTGAGGTGAAGACGAGAGGCAAATAGCAATGAAGCTACTTTCATGAAGTATTTAAATGACTCAAAGTAAGGCTAGAAACAGGGCTGAAAAATCTGAGGGTGGTGGAGGAAATATAGCTTGGTCTTTGTTTCAAAGTTCCCTAAACTATGCGTTATGCACTTGTTTCTTCATTAAGTTATAGTTTTATAAGTGCTTTGGACCATTCTCCTTAAATCGCTGATTTCATTGTTATTTTTGCATAGTTTGCAGTGTGGGGGAGGGAGTACTCTTCTCCTTTAAATTTCTACTCAAGAAAAAAAGCGAGATAAAGTGCTGACTTCCAGTCCCAGCAACACAGCTGAGGTGAGAGGCTCCTGCACATTCCAGGACATCTCAGGCTCTAGCCTGAAATGTGATCTCAAGCAATGTATCAAGCAAAGCCTTGGTGGTAACCCTTGTTTGTAAGCCCTGCTCTTGGGCACTTGGGAGGGGACAGAGTGAGGGTAAAGTTCAAGGTTCTCCTCAGCTGCCCGGCTCCAGTAGGCCTGTGCCAGGAGACAAACAAAAGCGCCCCGCCCCACCCACCACAAGAGCTGGGATTCCAGAAGTGCAGCCCCCCAGCCTGACTATTCCTCTCTCCTCTCCCAACCCCCCTCCCTTTTCTCCCCTATTCCACTCACCTATCTCCTCTCCTTCCAAGCCCTCTCCTCTTCTCCCTGTCCTCCTGTTTTGCTGACACAGGAGCTCACTCAATAGCCCAGGCTGGCCTGGGACTTGCAGAGAGCTTCTTTCAGTGCCCACATTCTGCTAGCACAAAATTGTGCTGCTCCCATTGTGAGACTTGTAAACGGGGTTTTGGACATGTTGTGGTAACTGAACATTAGAAATTCCATTTTTTTTTTAGAAATTCCATTTTTATGAATCCATTTTCCTTTATTTGAATTTATTTTCTCAGTCTGACAAAGGTCCTAAACCTTTTCCTCTGCATCTTTGTTAGCAGTTTTTGTTGTTGTTTTCCTTTTGTAGGTGGGGCCCCGCCTGGCGTCTGCACATCCTGATGTCAGGGACATTTCTTATGGAGTTTTGTTTCCTATTTTAGTGATTTTCAAATTGTGTCTGGGTGTCTTAGGACCTATTTAGTTTTCCACATTCCTATCAATAACACATAGAAAATAAAAGAAAAATCGTTGGTAGAAATACTTTTTAAATGCCTCGAAGTCCTCCAGGTGACTATCGCCGGAAAGTGAGGCTAAGCGTTAAATGCAGATATGAAATGCCTTTCACATTTTTTGTTTCAACCATGGTGCCAAATGCTAAACATCTGCAACTTTTGCCCACAGAAGGGAGCTCGCAAAATTGATAGGTGTGACGGAATCCAGAGTGCAGGTCAGTAACTAGACAAAAGACAACCATTCCAGAACTTGCTTCAAGTTCTGGATATCTTTGTCCAAGAGGTGAAGATGCTGTGCTGTTTTTCACTTCTGTCTATTTGGGAAATGAGGGTTTTGCTTTTGAGGCAGAGTCTCTCTACATAGCCCTGGCTGTTGTGACTGGCTTCCTTCACAGAGATCCAATTGCCTCTGCCAACAAAGTCATGGGTTAAAGGCATGCACCACAATGCCCACCTGGGAAATGAGTTTTGGTCTTTGCCGGTTTTAGACATGAGACATGAAAGCAGAAAGTTCCACAATACCAAAATGGCTCATTTTCAGTGAGAACCATGGCTTCCTAAATGAAAATAAAAAATACTATTGAACTGTTATGGAGTTCGTAACCCCACCCCTGGGGGAAAAACACAGACTCAATCAGGATTATAATTAGTTAAATGCCTTAAAGCTGCTAGCGGACAGCAATGTCTGAGTCAAGCTTTAGTTTGCCATGTGAAGGGGGTGAGGGAAGGATTTTGAAGGTGAAGCCACAAGAAGACTCTGAGCACAAATAAGCCAGGCGCGCGCTTCTGCGGTGCTAGGATTAGGTAGTCAAATCCACCCCCAGCTAGTCCTTGACTATCTACATACGCAGGCTACAAAAGTCAAAGAGCAGCTTGTCATACCCTAACAAGTAGGTGGTCATGGCTGCTGTACGCTTCTGTGTGTGGAGTCACTATGTCAGGCTTACTGGGAACTTTACCCAGGGACTGCAGTCAGCGACAAACAGCCAATGGGTCCCAAGATGTATGCCTAGCATAAAACTGAGTTTCTTTAGCCTTCACTGAACCAGTTTTTTTTCCTTAAGCATAAGAAGACTCTACATTATATGTATTTATGAATAAATTATTAATATGTGTTCTAGATTACAAAAATGCACATTCATTATATGTACAAAGAATTGTACAAATTATGAAGAGATGTATAGGATATAGGTACTTATAAAGATATGCTAGCTCCAATTCTGGAGTCCTTTTAGGTAGCATTTCTGTGTAGAGTCATATTAAGGTTAACATACAAGTCATTCAAATTAGTGCAGTTTAGGGACTATTGACAAAGAATTATTTTAAATATCAAGCTATATTAACACACTGTATGTATGGAGGGAATGCATAGACATTCAGGCATTGGTATGCAGAATCACTTACTTAAATAGACTGGTGGGAAGGAAGAAAGCCTCAAGTCCCAGAGCTTACTTAGCTTTTCCCGCTGTTATGTCTAAGTTCCTGGAAAAGGACTCGTGGACTTTAATGCTCAGAACCACACTTATGTGGTCTGAAAATACCACTCACAAAGTAGGTTGTGCATTATAGTAGAGATTGACGAAGGTGAGCAATCCTTGAAAATCTGTCCAAAAAGCTAAGCAACTGAAAAGAAACAAATCTGGACGATTTTCAGCAGATCTGCGAAAAGCGGAAATGGTAGGGAGGAATGACGTGCAAATGCATGCCTTGCTCACACTGCACGCTGTGTAAGAATGCATTCTGTTGAGTTTGTTGAGGGTAGAAAATGGTTGTCACATGTGGTAACCTAAAGACTTATTCGCTCAGGCAGTGCAATTACGAACTAATTGTGATACGTTTAGCATGTGACTGCATAGGAAAGCACAAGCTGTAAAATATGTACCAGCAAAATGCAAAGAGAAAGACAGGAAATAGAAACACGACCATGTCCTTAGCTTTGTTGCTCCAAGCACTGCCCGCCCCTCGTGGTGCAGTGTAGGAAATGGTCCGCAGATCAAATTATGATGTTTCTAGAATGTCAAAGCGATACAGAAGACCCCTGAAGCTATTTCCCAAGGCGATAGGCCATGATCATAACTAGGTCTGGCTCAGGTACAGTTTTTGAGTGAGGGACCAGCTGGCAAGTTAAGAAACAGACGCTTACTCCACTGTTTCATCCCTCCCTCAGTTTACCTAGTGTGCTCTCAATGACATTCTGAGGGCCAAGTGACCCGACCACCATGAGTAAGAGGAAGGACCTTTCAATGTATCTCCAACAAGCTTGCCGTGAACCTCTAGTCACTCTGGTTTGGTTTATCCTCTTTCAAGTTGGGTTGTGAAATCCATAATGTAAATAGCTAGTATACATGATATCCGGTATGCAACCCCAAAGGGGTCGCGGCTCACATGTTGAGAACCACTGAGTTAGAGGGTAGCAATGGACAGAATGCATAAACGTTGCCACCACCACAGGGGAGGCAAATGGTAGACTTTTTGTCCTGTTCTCTCTCTCTCTTTCTCTTTCTCTGTCTTCCTCTGTCTCCCTCTGTCTCTTTGTCTCTGTCTCTCTCTGTCTCTCTCTCTGTGTGTGTGTGTGTGTGTGTGTGTGTGTGTGTGTGTATGTGTTGGGAACCGAACGCAGGACTTGTGCTTGTTAGGTAAGCCCTCTACCAATGGAGCGGAATGTCCCACCCTTACAGAATTCCTAATTCTCAGACCATGAAAAACAAAAGTTTTGTTTTTTTTTTTGAGACAGGGTTTCTCTGTGTAACATCCCTAACTGTTCTGGAACTAGCTCTGTAGACCAAATTGACCTCGAACTCACAGAGATCCGCCTTTCTCTGTCTCCCAAGTGTTGGGATTAAAGACATGTACTGCCACCACTCAGCTTAAAAAAAATAAATGCATTTCTACGGCATGTTGTTGCCTACCGGGGGAGCTGACAGGCCAGAACTAAGTTATTTTCGTTTCTCTGGCCTCTTCATGTAGATGCACAAGTAAATAAAAGGAACCTGGAGTCAACTTGCTCAAGATCCTCCTTAGTGTGCAGATTATCAGTTCTCAACCTGTGGATCGCGACCCTTCTGGGGGCCGCATATCAGAGATTCTATATATCAGATATTTACTTTATGATTCCCAACAGTAGCTAATTAAAGTTATAAAGCAGTCATGAAATAATGTGATGGCTAGGGGTCCCCACAACATGAAGAACTGTGTTAAAGGGTCCCAGCATTGTAGGCGGAGAAGCACGGCTCTAACTCATCACATTCCTCTGTACTTTGTAGATTGTAAAGACTAAGGGGAAGGACTCCAGATAATATGATGGGTGGCCAGGAAAGAGGCGGCAAACAGGGAAAAGAGTTTTTGACTCACAATTCAAAGCTTGGGAACATTCAAAAGGTTAATGCAGTGGAACCCCCATACAGGAAGGTAGTGAGAGGCAGGAGCGGGGAACTTTTGCCTTTTCACAGTTCACTAGAATTTAGAGACTAACTTTTCTTTGACACCGTATCACAGAAATTACCAACAGTAACTCAAAAGTTGCATCCGCTTCTTCTTCTTGAAGAAGGCATTGAAATATAATTGGAGCCAGGTGGCGGTGGCGAGCATCTTTAATCTCAACACTCAGAGGAAAGGGCAAGTGGATCTCCATGCGTATGAGGTCGGTCTGGTCTAAAGCGAGTTCCCAGGACAGCCAGGGCTACATGGAGAAACGCTGCCTCAAAAAACAAATATGTGTAATTTGAGAAGAGAGTCAGACTCCAAAACTTTGTCACAGGGCTGGTGCTATGGAGAATTTGCTGAAGGATGGGATGTGGGGTTTTCTGTTATGGGGGATTTATCAGGGTTCCTTTCTGCAGTACTGAGGGTCAAGTCCAGGGCCTCACCATTCCCTAGGCTACATCCCCAGTCTCCCATGGAACTAGAGTTAGAGCAAGAAGAAAGAAGGTTCTTTTGTGGAATGCAAAAATCTCACTGGCATACACACCGGCACCATATGTTCTTCAGTTATGAGCTGACTATTTAGTGCACTAAGACAACCTCTTTCTCTCTCTCGTTGTAGAACTGGTTTAAGAGCAGGAGAGTCAAATACAGGAAAGGCCTGAGGATGTAAGTGCTCCGCTGTGCTCCTAGTGGTGCTCACTGCACCATGCCCCGAAGACTGTGGAGGAACCCTGGAGAGCCGCCCTTGCCCAGGGGACAGCTACCTATGCATCATTTTGCCCTCCCACTCTTGTCTGTCTCACCCTTATCTCCTCAGCACTTTTATTTTCAATAAAGGGGTGAAATCGCAATAGATTTGCTTCATGAGTCTCTTGGGATTAGTATGGCATGTGTGCAAATTATCAATAAAATACCATTTAAACAGAAAAGCAAAGTGCTTTCCCACGAGATGACACTGCTGAGAATATCGGAGGAGCATCCCAAATGCCAGAGACCACATATTCTTTTACTACCCACCCCTGTAATAGAATCATTGGAAAAGACAATGTTTCCTTTCTCCCAGTATTCTGTTTTAGTGTGTGTATGCAGGTATTTTACTTTCGGGTATCACACACACACACACACACACACAACAACAACAACAACAATTAAGCCAACATTCTTTGAGGTTGCACTGAAGAAGAGAAAAACATCACCTACTGAATGCCATCTAATTGTTTTGAATGTGAGGTTTCAACATAAAAGTTTCCTTGTTAATGAGTAAGGATGGGAACATTCACATAAATCCTTCAGTAAACTGTGCATGTGTATGTGGGAGAGTGTGTGAGTGCATGCACGTGTGTGTGTATGTGTGTATCAAAGAACAACCTTAAGTGCTGTTGCTCAAGTGTCGTCCACTTGGTCTTTTTGTTTGTTTGCTTGTTTGTTTGTTTTGTTTTTCGAGACAGGGTTTCTCTGTAGCTTTTGGAGCCTGTCCTGGAACTAGCTCTTGTAGACCAGGCTGGCCTCGAACTCACAGAGATCCGCCTGCCTTTGTCGCCCGAGTGCTGGGATTAAAGGCATGCGCCACCGACGCCAGTCCAGTTGGTCTTTAGAGACAAGGTCTTTCGCTGAACTGGAACTCACCAAGTAAGCTAGACTGGGTGGCCCACAACATCCAGGAAGCAGCCTACTCTGGTCCCTCCCACAGCGCTGTGGTTACAACAACTAGCTATCACTTTTGACTTTTAAGCATGGCTTTTGGGGGGCTGAACTCATGTTCCTGTGTGTCCCCATGCTTGTAAGACAAACACTTTACCAGCTGAACTGTCTTCTTAGCCTCAGCAGACATGATCACATGTGAGAGAGAGTGGTTCTTACTCATCAATTCTTACAGAGAGATGACGAAAAGGGGAGTCATTTACCGGTGTCCGTTTACATTAATCCTAAGCAGCAAGGTCCCTGTGCCTGCGCCTGCTTCCTCTGTCTGTCAAGGTGTTGAAGTATGCCAGGTGCCATTTGATGAGCCACAAGAACAGGAGCCATCAGTAGCCCTAGTGAGAGGAAATTAACTGTCTGTTGCCAGCATTGGAAGTATCACCTGCTCCTGTTGGAATTCAGTCGCCCTGGGCACCTGCTGGTCTCCCTGGCATGGAGGTTCCTCTGCTGTCTAAGGAACTACTAGAATCTGTCAGCATGAAACCTTGATTTTTTTTCCTGCTTTCCTATAAATGCTTTTTGAGGGTGGAGTTTTATGGCTGCCTATGAATATGATTTAGTATCAAAGTAGTGCTTTGATAATGTGGGTCCCAGGATTGTACCTAATTGTCTGCTTACTCACGTTACCTTTTATAACCCAGTCCTATAATAACACATCCTTGGCCCCTATGGTGAGTTACAGTGAGACCGTATCAAAATAAAAATTTTTATGTTATACTTAGAAGAAGAAAGGGACTGTTTTAACATATTAAACAGAGTCATAATCAAAGAACACATCTGATAACTTTGTATGTCAGTAATCCTTTAGGTTGCACAGAACATTTCTCATTGATTTAATTGTGTGAAGGGATGAAGCTGTAGATCAGGAACACAGTGATGTCTAGAACTCATATTCTGTTCCTAGCACTGCAAAAAGATCCCTGAACAACCTATTTATAGGATGTAAGACCACATGATCATCTTCACAAACCCTCCGTGAGCACTGATTTTGTGTCAGGCACTACAGTAGAACCAACCCTTTTCCATATTCACAGAAGAGTGAAAATAGAATAGGCCTACATGGCCATCAACAGATGGTTTGGTGATGTAAATGCATGATATTTTCCAGTTTTCTTTTTGTTGCTGTGATAAGCTACTCTGATCAAAAGCAACTTAGAGGAGGCCAAGGTTGATTTCAGGTTACAGGTTACAATTTGTCATTAAGGGAAGTTGAGGAAGGAACTCAAGTAGGAACTTGGAGGCAGGGGTCATGGAACAGCACTGTTTCCTGACTCCCTCACAGGTTCATGCTTAGCTAGCATCCTAACACTGCCCAGGACCACCTGCTCAGGGGATGAATGGTGCAGTCCACAGTGGGCTGGACTCTATTATCTCAATTAACAATCAAGACAAGACAATCTCCTATAAATATGCCCAATAGGTAGTCTAATCTGGGAAATCTCTCAATTGAGACATTCCCTAGTTGAGTCTGCATGGGCCCTGTCAAGTTGATCATTAAAACTAACTAGGGAAATATATATATATATATATATATATAATCATCTATAATAAAAAACAAAATTATGAAAGTTTCAGGAAACCAGATGAAACTGGAAACACATATTGAGTGAGGAAGCTTATAAAGACTAATGTCACATGTTCTTTCACATATACAGATCTTAGCTTCTCATTTTATCCATGTATATTTATGTGAGGGGGAATGTATGTAGATGCCAGGAAATAGAAAGGCACCCATGAGATGAGTAAAAAAAAATCTTTAAAGGGGGGGTTTATGGAAGTTAATAGCACACATGTGATATGAAAATGGAAAGAGACATGCCAAAGGTAGAAGAGTTTAAGCAGGGATGGGAGTCAGGGAGATGGAGAAAGGGGGTGAAAAAAGGAAAGGAGTATGTTTTGGAGAAGGTCTTCCCAGCTCTAGTGCCTGAAGATTTGTAAATTCCTTCTATATGCATAGAATTGAAGCTTGGATTTTCCTACTGAAAACAAGTTACTATCCTAGAGCTCCTAGCAACATTTCTATGTCATACATAATCCTAACACAGCTCATACATAGAACTGATAGGACATTGTTCTAGCAATCAAACATTTTATTAAGTTTCGTATATGTGTTGTTTTATATGTATATACATGTATGAGATATAACATATTTGTAATTTTGTCTGACATTTCTTCTGACTCAAGGCAATCTTTTAATTGTAAGTGTCTGTAAAATAAAAAAAAATCAGGTCATATACTTCCAACATACAATGGTACAGAACATATTATCATTCCAAAAAGGAGAAATGTGGCCTCCCTTTCTGTTTGAAAGAATACTGGAGCAAAGCAATGCCGAAACACAGTGGGACAAACCTCAAATCCCATTCCTTCATGCCTTCTATCAAAGGGCTTAAATAGGTCCATCTCCTCAGCTTTGCTGCCTGCCTCTCCCTTGGGCTGGTTCTGTTCCCTGTTTGCAGGTCTTCTTGCAGATTTCCTATAACTCTGGCATCTCCAACATCTTGGGATGTTCAATGTAACTCAAAGATTTCACTTCCACAGCTTCATAAAATTGCCCCATGGAACTTCCATACAGGGACTTTCCTGCTACATGCCTGGCCTCGGTGTCTTTCTAAAATCACAAAGGATGATCCCATGACCCTTTTACTCGTGTATACTTCATGACTCCAAAAAACAGCACAGTATAGATGACCACAAAGCTCAGCTGCCCTCTTGGGATGGACCTTGGCCCCTTTGAATCACATTTGCAGTACCTTTTCTTTCTTGTTCTTTCCTAGTAGCAGAAAACACCAGAGGCCTTTGCCTTCCACAAGCTGAAAGCCTAGTTGGGTGGAGTCTTGTCCTGTGGTCACCCTTCCCTTTATTCTACAGCAGATAAGGCTTCACCTTGATCCCCTTACGTCTTTCAGTACGTGCCTGTGGCTCAGTATTACGCTTTCTGCTGCTCTTTTTCCTCTTCAGACTGTACATTTTGTATTTCCTTTTGTCCCACTTGATCTTCTTTTAATTGTGGGTCTTGTCCTGTGGTCACCCTTCCCTTTATTCTACAGCAGATAAGGCTTCACCTTGGTCCCCTTACGTCTTTCGGTACGTGCCTGTGGTTTAACATTAAGCTGCTGTTCTTTTTCTCTTCAAACTGTACATTTTGAATTTCTTTTTGTCCCACTTGATCTTTTAAAATTGTAAACCTTCATAATAAGCACAGTCTTGAACTCTCCTTTGACAAAGAAATCAGTCCATTATTTTTTTTTCAGTCCCAGGCAAGTTTTTAGAATGAGGGGAGAAAGCAGCCACACTCTTTCACAAAATATTGCAAGAACAACAAAAACTGTCTCTAGTCCAGTTGCTAATATTGTTTTTCTTTGATTTCTCTTGAATTGGGCCTCTACAGTCCACATAGCTCTCAGCATTACCATCTTCTATGCTCTTACTAGGTGGGCCCATTAAAAACTTTGCTTACAGCATTTCTTTCATAGCCGAAAGTTCCAAAGTATTTCACATTCAAAGCAAACAAACAAAAAACACATAGTCAGGTTCTTCACAGCAATACCCCACTCATGGTACCAACTTTTGTCTTAGTTAGGGTTTCTATTGCTGTAATAAAACATCATGACCAAAGCAACTTATAGAAGAAAAATTCATTTGGAGCTTACAGTTCCAGAGGGTTAGGGTCCATAATGAGAGGGACAGCAGGCAGCAGACTTGATGGCTAGATCTGGAAGTTGAGAGATGAGTACTCATGCCTCAAACTGCAAACAGAAAGCAGAAAAAGAAAACTTAAAATGGTAAAGCCGTTACACTCTCAAGACCCACCCCCAGTAATAAGCCTGCTCAAGTAGGGTTACCAACAGGAAATGGAGCGTTCAAATGCCAGAGATTATGGGGAGACATTTATCATTCTCCTTGGGGTAGACTTCCTCTTCCGACACCAGACCTTCAGGGGATTTTCATAATAAGCATGGAATTGCCTGTGGAAACACTAATCCAATCAGGTCCTACTACACTCTGAATGAAAATTAAACTGTACAAAACAGGTCTCCTTTCATAGTGTGCTCCCACAAGCCACCATTAAAGGGCACAGTGGCCTAGAGCTTCCAGCCCATGGCCCCCAGGCATAAAGGCCTGCTCTTGACACTTCTTACCAATCACAGAA